ATGTCTGTGGCCTACTATCAGATACTGTACCGTTGCGCAGATTATGTTGAAAACCATATGGAAGATATATTTTCTAGAATCTGTTGCACATTTCTGACTTTCAGCCATACCAACCCGTGACAAATCCTGGTCTACGTGAGGCTGCAGACTGAATTGTCCACCTAAGGTATTCCATAACCTGCTTCACAAACACTATTTAAATGTGATATGGCAACATACACGAAATTTCTTCTATTAATACCACTTTCAGTCATATTAATACATAATAAAGCCTGGTTTACTTAAGGTCCCGGGTTCGATTCCGGGCGCTAACAGATTTTCTGAGAAGTAGTGTGTCTGGAATGGGGTCCACTCAGCCTCGTGAGGATAACTGATGAGATATTTCAAGGAAATAGCGGCTCCGGTCTAGAAAACCGAGATTAACGGCCGTGGGGATTCGTTGCCTTGACCACGCGACACCCTCTATCCACTAAAGTTGGCACTAACTTCGCCGACAAGCGGCGGTCGTTCGGTCGGTATAGTCGCTTGCGTACTCAAGCCACGGAGTTTATTTGTATACTTAAACCGCTTTCCATATTTTTCTGATATTCAACACAGAAAATCTTTACCAAAAATTATGGGACATTTCCGATCTTCAGCCTATTTATCCAAAACAAAGTCTAGTTTGCTTTAGGCCGTGAATGGAAATTTCCTTAGACCTCAGAATTCTTCCGCATATTTTGTTGAAATTCGTCATGGGAGACTACTACGAATTTGCATTTCATTAATCCAATTTTTAATTAACTTAAATAAACATCCATCAAAACCGTTGGTAATTCGACATACTGTATTCTGTAAGTATGACTTATGTCCTTTTAGATCTCGTTTCAATATTGAAGAAGGTAATCCTACGTATACATAAAACTGTGCTTCAAAGAATTAAACAGAACGAGGTTTTAATATTTTGCTTGTACGGCGTTCTATTAAAAATAAAAATATTGGTGGAATTCTGTCCCTTAAAATTTTGTGTTTCAGGATGTGCTCGCAAACACCAGTTACAGATACAGTCTAGAAAACGTTACTAAATAACTGACTTCATAAAGATGGCCCCTTCTTGAGAAACCCCCAGCCACACAGCTGCTCAAGAGCTTTCCAGTATTTTATGGAATCCGAAGGTTCATTACCGTGTTCACAAGGGCCCTCCACTAATCAATTCAGTCCATACCATCCCATCCTATCTCTCTAACCTCTATTTTAATATTATCCACGCACATACGTCTTGGTCTTCCTAGTGGTCTCTTTCCTTCTGGATTTCCCACCAATATCCTGTACGTATTCCTCCTCTCCCCCATTCGTGCTACATGCCCTGTCCAACTCATCCTTCTTGACTCGATCATTCTAATTATGCTTGGAGAAGCGTACAAGTTATGAAGCTCCTCATTAAGCAGTTTTCGCCAACCTCCTGTCACTTCATCTCTCTTCGGTTCAAATATTCTCCTCAGCACCCTGTTCTCAAACACCCTCAGTCTATGTTCCTCCCTTAATGTCAGAGACCAAGTTTCACAACGATACAGAATCACAGGTAAACTTACAGTTTTGTATATTCTGATTTTTACGTTTTTAGACAGCAGACGAGAAGACAAAAGGTTCTGCAATGAATGACAGCAAACATTACCCGAGTTCAATCTCCTTTTAATTTCCTCCTGCTTCAGGTTTCGATTTGTTATAGTCTTTCCAAAATATCTCAACTGTGCTACATTTTCAAAACATCTGTGATCTATCTTTATGTCATGATTTTGCCCTGCATTCTGGTGACGAGACAGCAAAACAATGTATACTTAGTTTTCTTTGCGTTTACTTCTAGACCAACATCCCTAGGATCGTAAATTAAAGTTCTTGTGTTTTTCTTTATAGGTGACACACGGTAGCGTAGTTGGCTGAGACACTATGCTGCAAGCCGGAAGACTGCGGGTTCGATCCCCGATGAGGTCATTGGATTTTTCAATTGACCCGATCCTTCCAGCTGCGCTATGGTCCTGGGGTTGACTCAGCCACTAACAGAAATGACTACCAGGAATCTTCCTGGGCCAGCACGTAAGGGTGGCAACCTTACCGTCATATGTAAGCCGAATATTAGAAAATGTAAGAGCCTCAACGTCTCACAACCCAATGGACCTCCACAGCCTGTTACAGGGGTAGTTCTTATTTATATTTTCTTAGTGGTATCTATCTTACCTCCCAGTAGATTCATGTCAGCAACATGGACCAGTGGCTGATGTGTGCTATTTAATTTTAGTCCCACCTGGTTTTTTTGGACCTTCCTACTGGTATATTCTAAGCGAAGTTGAAAAGCAGTGACGGTAAAGCATCTCCTTGTTTTAGATCATTTTAATAGGAAAATTCCTGCACCAACCTTTACCTATACGGACTTTACGATACGTTTCATTTAAACACATTTAATCAGCCTAAGATATTTCATGGGTACCCGAAACTCTATAATTCTTCCTTCCTAACTGAATCATGCCGGTCACGGTAGCCGAGCGGTCTAAGGCATGCACTGTCTTCTCTCGCTCGGAAGCCGAGATTGTGGGTTCGAATCCCACTCAGAGCATGGATGTTTGTGTGCGTTTTTCTGTGTTTGTCTACAGGTAGAGACCTTGTGACGAGCTGATCACTCGCCCATGGAGTCCTACCGTATGTGTAAGATCTAGAAAAACCGAAGTAAACGGAGTTCATGGAGGTAGTCCTAGGCCCACTGGGGCTGTAGTGCCAAGGAAAAAAAAAACCTGAATCATAGGCTTTCTTGAAGTCTACATTTGCAGAAAATGCAGGTTCTTACTTTCCACATGGAATCAATATAGGAAATATGATAGTCTCTTCTTGTTCATAGCATGTAAGAAAGGCGATCCATTTTTGTATTTATGATACTCATTTATGTACAATATATAGGCCTGCGTTTAATTGCGGCTTGTACGAGAATTCTTCCAGTTTCATTGCAAAAAAGTGTCAGATGATGAGTGCGTTGCAATGATTTATTTATGATATAATTATTGCATGGCATTCAGACATATCGAATTGACCACACTGCATCTCTCAAATCCTGTCAAGTGAATTTTATTAGGCGACAAACACAAGGGAGCATAACGGGAAAAATCTGATGAAGGTATAGACAGAAGGATGTTTACACAGTTGTACCTCAGGCTTACAACTTCGACTTACGACTACGTTTCCGAAAACGTGTCGTAACTCGAATAATCTAATTCATGACGACATGGAACGCACAAGGTTACCTTTCTGGAGCTCAGTGCTAAAACTATTTTTGTTAATGTTTTAAAATCTAGTACGCTATTATTATATTGCTGTTATTATAAACTCAATAAGGGGACATCAAACAGCATGGTTCTTCTTGTTCTTCTGTTCCTCACACTTGGGGCCTAGAACATCCTCGTGAAAACTTTCGTTTCACTTCAGCCCGTCGTAAGGCCGCTACATAACGCAAACGCAGAATAAACACAGACAGCGGGATTTGAACTCACGGTCCTAGTGTTAGAGCGGGCGAAGACATTTCATGCCTTAGATATCGCGGCCACTGTGATCGACAGCAGGGTGCTGAATATTTAAAATATTATAAATATGTTAATTAGTATGTTATCGCGGATTGTCAAAGAGTTGTGAGTCGGGTCAACACAGCATTACAACATGGCGTAAGTCCCAAATTCGAGAATCGTAAGCCCGAAAATTCGGAACATGTTTCTAGTGGGTGCTGGGAAGTCGAAGGTGTACGTAAGGTACTAAGGTAAACTTATCTCTGTACTTAATCAATTAAGCAGCGGCCTCCGTAGTCTAGAGGTAACGTTCCCACCTCATGACTCGTAGTACGCGGGTTCAAATACCCGGCGGAGGTCGTCGAATTTTTAAGGGCGGAAAAATTCAGGGAACAAGTCCTCCGGGAGGGACTTTAAGCCGCGGGTCCTATGTCGTAGCTTTACGGAACGTAAAAGAACCACATATCTCCAAAGTAGGTCACTGAGCCAAAATTACGGACGTTTCCTGCCCAACAGCAGTCTCTAATACGTCTAGTAGATGGAAGCATTATAGATACCTCTCAGCTAGTAGAGCCGGTCTCGCTGGCTGGGCGGGACTGATGGTAAGAACCAGTACCGGTAGGATATAGAGACTGGTAGAATATCATAGAGGGAAGCACAATAGATCAAATTGGTCGCGGTGCATGGGGAAACCCACCCTCTGAAAATAACTAACTAAATCAATTAAGCACTAGGCCATGAAAACGTATGTGGGAGTGGAGGCATAGCTTCACTGTTCTTGACCTCGGCACTACCTAAGAGGTGAGTCCTCAGCTTCCCGCCCCGGCCTCTTTACCACGGAGTAAAGTGCCCTCGGTACCCAGTGCATAAGTAGCTGGGTGGGCCTCATAGCCGATGTGGACGCTCTAAAGTAGAGGGAAGTCTCTTGTTCCTGCCCAGAATCGAACCCCGGCTTTCCAGCCAGTAGCCCGTCGGTATACCAACTGACCTATCTCGGCTCCCAATTTTTCATAAATAAGTACTGTATTTGAATCTGTGGGTGGCACCAGTTTGAACCCCGAGTTCAGGCACCTGTGTATTATTCTGCTTGCCCTACGTTTAGTTACGGAATCCTTTCTATGTTGTTACTTTGCCTTGCTCTTTGTGTAGAATTACCTTATAAAAACGAGGCCTTCATTCTGTACTAGTTCACATGCTTGCTACTAGGTAGCATTTCGATTTTAGCAGAAGACGTTCAGAAAATTGTGTTGGTGGGAGATTAATTTTTATTTATGGTTTATTTAACGACACGTTCAAAGCGCGAGATTAAAGGAATTCTATTGGTCAGTCCTTTCTGGAATGCAATTCCCCAGTCACTTGGTGGGGAGCGGAGATGGCAGCGAACATTATCCTTCAGCCTTTTTTTTTATCAGACAGAGAGACCTGCAAGAGAGGCTAACTCTGCCTGTGTTGGTTTTCACCCACAGTTGACTCTGCTTGTGCTTGTGGAATGTTGGTAGCCTCGTGTTGAGGATTGTGCTGCTTGCCCTCCCTGCTTGCTGGTTGTATTTTATTAAATAGCGTAGTTACCACACGGTGGCTTGCTACACTCAGTCGTGTCTAGTCTGTATTTGCCGGTCGCGTTTGTAGTACCAACATTGTCATGTGTGGAGGTTGTGACCTAGTACTACACCGAAGTGTACGTTTGAATTCAGTGCTTTAAAACCATTGCTGACGTCTTCAGGGTGGATATTACATTCCTGTCCCTTTCGTGATGTGTGTATGACAAAGCAAAGGATTAACGTAATATGAAAATCAAGTTAGTGTAACACATGCCGGACATACTGAAGATTATATATAACCTGCAATGAGTGTTACAAATAATGACGCATGAAGACAGTGTGGTGTTCTGTGGTGGAATAAAGATATAGTGGCGATTTTTCCCTCTTCCAAGATTCTGTGTTTATTGGAAGATAATTTAATGTTCTAGTAAGTGCATTATTGGAATACTTTTCAGTCATTTACAAAGTGACAACAATGTTTTTCCATAGAAGAATGTATGTCGAATATCAGCCGAGCGTCTCGAATTGGAATAACAGGTAATTTGTCATATTCTTTTACTAACTATCTTGAGTTTGAGATTTGTATTATTACGTAGATTCTGATGTGTAGGGTTGTATGTATAATGTTTATGTTACATACTCGATAAAGTAAGTTACATATATCTATTTTTATTATTGCAAATAATAATTGGACACTCGTTATTTTGACCATTTGGCAAGAAAGATGGTGTTATCAGTATTCCGTGATGAAACTTATACACGTTTGAGACTGAATAGGATTTCTGTGTTGTTTTAATTACTAATACCACTGGACCCATAAAGTGCGAAGTTTTTTCGAATAAAAGTAAATTATTCAAAAATATTCTATTTTACGGATTATGAGTCGTCTTTTCAGATCGATTGATTTTTCAAATGAAGGTGATTTTATAAAAATGTATTATTTCTACATTTGTATTAATGTAATCTTTGGTATAGTAGTTGACTGTATTACTTAATATACAGCACTGGAACGTGCTGCAAAATATGTATTTAAACTAAGTGACTGGTCAGTAATTGGTATTCAGCTTAGTTTCTTTGTTCAAGCTAAATATAAATGAAATATGGTATAATAAAAATATATTTATATTTACATATTTTACTATAAAGCATCATAAAAATATAGGGCATTCAGTACTAGACTTTGATACATTAATTAAAATAACAGTAATAATTTATTAAATGTAAACTGTACTACGAGAGTGGACTTATGTGATTTCAGGTGTATTACAAATCATGTTAATTTTGAGCACCGAAAGCTTATTGTGACTGTGCCCGCGTTTCATATTTCAAAAATATACTTTTTTGTCATCATCAGTCATCTTAATTGTCCATCTCCTCCGCTTTTCTAATTTGAATGGTAGATATCGAAAGCTCAATAATAAGCTGTATTAACTCTTTAAAGACCGAATTTCTTTCAAACTAAATATATAAATGCAGTCCGTACCTCACAGGAAACACATTGTGTCTCCGCTACAAAGCCCAACCGGTTAGTACTGTTTTGGGAAATATCCGATGCTTATTGTGAGAACCATATGAAACACACAAATACACTGTGTGTGCAGAATGCAGAATTCTAGTATGTTAAATCAAGTCGTGCATATAGTAACCATTAGGCTTTAAAAGGGTAATAGCAGTTGTTACTGGATGATTCTGAAGGTTATGGGCGTTTATCTAAAGTAAACTTGTAAATCAGCATTCATTTCTACACGACTGAATTTTCAGCAGGTTTTGTTCTGCGTAAGCTTTATATCTAAGCTATTTTAAGAAATCTGGGCCGTTAATTTAGATTTACATGTCATATTTCTTGACCACTAAATGTGGAAAATTAAAAAGAAAACACATACAACGAATATTTATATACATATAAAATTAAACTTTTTAACAACGTGAAATTTATATGACCTTTATGCATCATATCGACCGTAAAATACCACTGAATGCCTGCTCTGTACCATAACCTTCACTGACATGGATTTCTTTCACAGTAATGTTGGCCACAGGAATTTGGCCTTGGTTCTGAGTTACCTGTACGAAGCGACTCCCATAGCAGTAAAAACTGTATCTCATGCTACTGACAGAAAAGTTAAATACGGCACTTTGTTTTTCATATCATCTGCTAATATGCCAGCTGTATGGACACATACATTCCTGAGACTAGTAGGACTGTAGTATTTTACTTTGTATTGTATAGAACCAGATGTTTCGAAAATGTGGCACAGTTCAGATATTGGGGAACGACGATAACAAATCAAAACCTGATGCGGGGGGAAATTAAGAGGAGACTGAACTCGGGTAATGCTTACTACCATTCAGCCCAGAACCTTTTGTCTTCTCGTCTGCTGTTCAAAAACATAAAAATTAGAATATACAAAACTATAATTTTGCCTGTGGTTATGTATAAGTGTGAAACTTGGTCTCTGACATTAAGGGAGGAACATAGACTGAGAGTGTTTGAGAACAGGGTGTTGAGGAGAATATTTGAACCGAAGAGAGATGAAGTGACAGGAGGTTGGAGAAAACTGCATAATGAGGAGCTTCATAACTTGTACTCTTCTCCAAGTATAATTAGAATGATCAAGTCAAGGAGGATGAGGTGGGCAGGGCATGTAGCACGAATGAGGGAGAGGAGGAATGCGTATAAGATTTTTGGTGGGAAAGCCATAAAGACTACTGGGAAGACTAAGGCGTTGGTGCGTGGACAATATTAAAATGGATCTTGGAGAGATAGGATGGGATGGTATGGATTAGACTGATCTGGCTCAGGATAGAGACCAGTGGAAGGCTCTTGTGAATACGGCAATGAACCTTCGGGTTCCATAAAATGCTGGGAAATTCTTGAGTAGCTGCAGAATTGACGGCTCCTCCAGAAGGGATCAGCTCCATGAGTAAGTAAGTAAGTATTGTATAGAACAAGACCCCTGAGATCACTCATACCAAGAAGCCTGTAAAGAGAAAGTTTGTTATTACAGACGTTTTAGGGGTATAGGTATGCTTGTGAATTTCTTATCAATCTCAGAGAAGGGCGAAGGAACCATTTTATAGTTCATTGAAAGACGCTGTGACCAAATCAGTCTGATTACTGACAAATGACTGGATAGTGAATAATGAACTTGAAACGGACTAGAAAGAAATGATCGTGGCCTGACTTAAGGTACTATCTCGGTATTTGCCAGAGGGCCTGAGAAAAAAATACGAAGACCTCCGTTAGGTTAATTGGTGGCCCAGCCGAGATTCGAACCGGGCACCAACCAAATATGGCAAAAGCCTTGTCTCTTCGGACATTTTTCGCTCCTGAGTAGGTATATTGAATCTATGAATGTTCAGCGACTGTGTGCTGTTATGTACTATGGCATTGTGAATTTTTCGTGAAAACCAGTTGAAACAAAAATAGTAAATAACGCAAATATTTGTATTGCTGAAATTATTAAGAAGTCTGTATAACTGCAGAAGAAAGTGAGAAGTCCTACTATACTCTTTACATTGCTGAAGTAAGCTCTAATAATTTAATTTTTCTGTTGATTCGCGAGTCAGGGTTGATAAACGAAACCACTCTGGCAGAGAATTGTAGACGTTTTGCTCAGTTCTTAGAAAAATACTAGTATTTATGCAAGTTGTCTCCCATCCTAGGGAAGAATACATAGAAACAGTGTCCTTGAAAACAGCCCAGGAGAATGTTTGGGACATGGGAGAGAAAGTAACATGGAGGACGGATAGGGTAATGAACAGTTTCATAATTGGTACTTCTTACCAAACATTATTAGGGTGATCAAATCAAGGAGGATTGGATGGATAGTTCATGTAGCACGCACGAAGGACACGATGGGTGCGTACTCGATTCAGGAGGCTCAAGATAGGATCCAGGGCAGGTTGTTATGAACACGGCAGTGAACCGTCGAATCAAAAAATAAATCGTATTTATTGAACAGCTAAGTGACTGTTAGCTGCTCCATGGAGTTGCTTCGGAAGGAAGTGGTAAGACTTGTTAATGGGTCTGTAGGATTTCGAGATCAGAATTTCATACTGGAACAGAATGGCATAGATTAAGAGAGTAGGCGTTAAATGGCATTTTTGTCTCTTATCTACAGTTTAGACCTCCAGTAGTTCAGCGTCTGGAGTCTTTGTCATGATGTATTTGCAGGCTCGACGAATTCCACTTTAAATAGGTTTCCCTTCTATATACAGTATCATCATAATAGTCTCATCATGACCCTAACCTTTGTCCAGTTCTTTTAGCAGAGGGCTCCTGAGGAAAACCTTTCACTCACTTATGGAGCTGAGCCCTTCTTGAGAAGGTGCCAATTGTGCAGCTATCCAAGAACTTTCCAGCTTTTAAGGAACCTGGAGGTTCATTACCGTGTTCACAAGAGCCCTCCAGCAGTCTCTATCCTGAAACAGATCAATCCAATCCATACCATCCTATCCTGTCTCTCTGAGATTCATTTTAATATTGTCCCCCCACCTAGCCTTGGTCTTCCCAGTGGTCTCCTTCCTTCCGGGTTTCCCACAAATATCCTGTATGCATTTCTTCTCTCGCCCATTCGTGCAACATGCCCTGTCCATCTCATCCTCCTTGACTTGATCATTCTAATTATATGTACTTGGAGAAGAGTACAAGATATGAAGCTCCTCATTGTGTACATTTTTCCAACCTCCTGTTACTTCATCTCTCTTCGGGAGGAAAATCTTCACATGTCTTTATCCAGTCTCAGAGTTTCCGCAGGATATTCAGCTTTTTTTTTCGTTCATGATCGGCTATTTCATTCCCTTCAATCGCCCTGTTTCCGGCACCCAAATTAATTATATCATGTGTTCAGTTTTGCTGTGGTTTTATGGGAGTCCCAGGCTAACGTAGAGTTGATCGGTTTTTGTCAGATATTTAACAGCAGCTCGGCTATATGATAGACTGGAGTTATGCCAAAGGGGCCTCCACATATCCAAGGGGATTTCATAACACTTCAAGAGACATCAGGCTGGAGAACCATTGACCAACGGTACTCAAACACTCCTCGGAAACAAAACACAGCATTTGCCTCTGCATATGTATCCAGGCCCACCGACCCCGCATAATCAGGGAAATAATCGAAATAACAAAACACACCCATAATTTTAACTGTGAAGACGGACATAGATTACGTAAAGGATGTCTTCGCCTGTCCCCCCTCCCCAAACCATCACACTGAACCACCTCCATCGAGCAAGCACTGAACCCCCATTTACTGTCTACTTTGGGTAGGATGAGGAGGAGGAGGAGGAAGAAGAAGAAGAAGAAGAAGAGGAAGAAGAAGAAGAAGAAGAAAAGATAGTGTTGTTGATGATGACATCCTCCATGACGACGACGACGACGACGACGACGACGACGATGATGATGATGATGATGATGATGTAGGAAAAAGAGAGAGGAAACAGATCTTCCTTCACCGCTTGCTCTGAACACCGAGTCGCCGAAATGTTTCTCCCCAACTCTTTTCTGGACCACCTGGTTGCCAGAACATTTTTCA